TTGAGTATTCGTTGCTTCAGATTATCAAAATATTGCATTTTGACCTGCCAAATTCCATGGGCAATCCCAAGTACTTGCGCGCTGAGAATATATGCTGAATGTTCATGGCTTGTGCTATCATCTTTTGGAATCTTCTAGGGGTATTTGCACAGAAGGAAATGTCGGATGTGCTGTGATTTATTTTCTGCCCAGAGGATTTCTCATAGCGATCCAAGAGTTGAAGAATGTTGACTGGTTCAACAAGGTTTGCCTGCATAAACACCAAACAATCATCCGCAAATAGTAAGTGTAAAATAACGGGAGCAGTTCTAGCAATTTGGATACCACTTACCAGATTTTGCTGGACGACATGATGTATCATTTGAGTCAAAGCTTCTGTACATAAGATAAATAGGTAAGGGGACAGGGGGTACCCTTGCCAAAGTCCTCTGGTAGGAACTATATGGCCCTTAGCCTCGCCTTTATTTTGATGGAATAGGAGACCAATGAGATGCATTTTTGAATCCAGGAGACCCAATCTGAACAAAAATCCATCCTTCTATTTTTGCCAACTTTAACACACACACACACACAAACAAACAAAAAGTTCCAAGCAGTAAGGTTTTAAATAGTGGAAATTCCGCCAATTTCGAACACCCAACCGAAGCAAAATTTTATAAGGTTTAGATTTTGAATATTTTATTAGAACAACATATTCTCTCAAACTCTTCTGAAATTTCACGCAATTTTTGTCTAAATAAACAACTTTTTTATTTTTATAATATATTTACACATTTTACAAAAAATTATTTGATGCAAATCATTCATCTATTTATTATAGGTCAATAGTGTAGAAATTCTTATTTATTGAAGATGCTTGGATAAATTATAATAATTTATAGAGGGTTTCAATAAATAATCTAAAACTCCTAACTTGGAAATGTAACTATGAAAATAATCTTAATCTACTAAAGATAATGATCTAAGATTGTGATTGTGATGAGATGCACTTATGATACAATATATCTCATCTTACATTTATTTCCTTAATACTCCCCCCTCAAACACATGGAGATGGGTTTGCTACAACTTGAGTATTCCCTTTGTTGATGAGTAACTAGAATATCCAATCATACTTAGTGGTCATTGTAAGTTTGTGAAGTCCGATCCATTTCTGTCATATCCCGCTCATTTTGATGATTCTGTAGGAACCTGTGTGGCCCACTAGATCAACCTATCATGATTTCTCCAAAAGCACATAATGTATGATTGCTAAGTCTTTAGCAATATCCGAAGGATGGACCTCTTGCTTGGACTTAAGTGGCATTAAAATACGAAGATCACATTTAAATTAACTTCATGGTAACTACTATTTAAGCATAATTTCTAGACTATCTTTTATGTATATAATACTTACATGGTTAACATCATAAAATTTGAATTCACAAACATTAATTGGTGTCACTTGATCTAATTTTTTGCATTCATTGGACACACGTACATCGCACGTGCATTCCGCTAGTTTTACATAAATTTATTTGATGCAAATCACTTATCTAATTAGTAAACTAATTAGATAGGTTAGTAGTGTAGAAATTCTGTTTTATTGAAGATAGGGGCAGAGCCTGAAATTTTTCCTTGAGAGGCCAAACTACATATGCCAAGATAATTAATGGGATTAGGGTATGGGGCCTTAGGTTCGTGGGCGTAGCTCCGAGATTTATTTTTTTTTAGTAATGGGTCTACCGTGGTTATAAAATTTGTTAATGTTTCATTCAAATATGGGGTCCAGTAAAAAGAAAAAGTGAAAAACATGGGCCGGTCTTCATTGGTTCATGCCCACCTTCTTAATACCCACTAACTGTGGTTAAGATTCAGTCATCCTTATGATTCAATTATTTAACCTTGGTATTTAGAAGAAGAAAATAAAAGTTGGTTAAGCTTAGCCATGGTTAATTAAGGAGGATGAAATAGGAAGGCATTTGATTATGTAGTCAAATGCCAGGTGGGCTAATCACTACTCTAAATTATTATATATTTCTATTATGGAGATTTTTTTTTCACATGCGCGTTCGGTGTTCAGTGCAATGTGCGTGCCTCCACTACTTGACACATGTCCCTTTTAATACCCATTAATTGTGGTTACGATTCACTCACCCCTAGGGTTTAAACATCTACCCTTGGTTTTTATTAAAAAAAATTAACTCCTAAGATAATAAATCTTAACTAGGATTAAGAGGGACACATAAAGAATCAACCCCTTTATATTTACACATAAAAAAATTTACAATATTTTTTTAGGGGGGCCACTATATACAAAATTTATATATTATGTATTTTTTTTTTTTTAGAATGTATACATCCAATATATTAAAATTTCAAAAAAATTGGGGGGGCCATGGCCTCCCTCACCCCTGATTGAAGATGTTTGGATAAATTATAATAACCCTATAGAGGGTTTATATAGATAATTCAAGACTCCCAACTTTAAAAGGTAATTATAAAGATAATCCTTGTGATTGTGATTGTGATTGTGATACACTTATGATTCAGTGTATCTCATCTTACATTTATTTTCTTAATATTCCCCCTCAAACATGGAGATTGAAAATCTTCATGGGTTTGCCATAACTTGAGTACTCCCTTTGTTGATAAATAGCTACAATATCCAACTGTACTTGGTGCTCACCGCCAGTGTGTGAAGTTCATCTTTATTGCATTCCGCTCATTTTGATGAGTTTGTTGGAGCCGGTGGTCCACTAAATCAAGTTGTCATGATCTACCTCAAAAGCACATGATGTATGATTCGGCTAAGTCTTCAGCCGTAGATGGGCACAATGGAAAGTGGGAATATGACACACATAATTCGAGATAGCACATTGGATTATGGAAATCACAGTGGACCGAGAGGAAAATTATGATATTCACACTATTGAATGATGCAAACTGATTTCAAAAGTTTCCACTCTTTCAACGACTAATGGAAATTTTGGGTTGATTTCCTATTTGCAAAGGAGGAAAAGATTAAGATATTATTGTTGGTTGCTTGTCTAGAAGGCTTGTAATGCCCTCAAGTTTGGGCATTCTCTCCCCTACCCTTCTAATATTGTTTTTTAGGCGGTGAGTATTTGGAGGTGGTGGCTCGGCAATGGAGATCCGGGAAGGGCATACTCAGGTTACTTCCTCTAATTCAGGAATTATTAATCAAATGTGGAGACCCTTGGCCCAGCCTTGGAAAGATGTGTCGTCAGATGGAGCCTCTTCCTTAAGTAGGATCGAAGCGGGCATTGGTGTGGCTCAGGCAATCGAGACCCGCTTGCTAAAATTGGAACCATCGTGGAGAATATCAGAGCAAATCTAGCGATGTTTCATCAAAGTCTAGGGCATCATATTCCTCATAGAAGCAATGGGTTTGCTCACAATTTGGCAGCTCAGGCCCTTGGCCTTAGTTCTCAAGGATGTTTCGACGTTCATCATCTGTCAGCCCGTGAATGTAGTCTTGTCTTTTCTGAACGGGGGTCCTAGGCCGTCGTAGGGGCCCGACCTTGCTTTCTAGTTCTCTGTTTTGTTGAATGATACCTTCTCTTCAAAAAAAAAAAAGAGGCTGCAAATATGATAGGAATCACAAATAGGACAGAAAGACATTATGATTTCACACAATTAAAGACAACACATTGGTCGTAGAGATTACATGTTAGAGGCCACTGGAGTGATTGAGGAGGTGCAAAGAGACTTAGAAACCAAGGGAGTGATTACTTATGTGCATTGCAAATTTGAATAGATGTGTATTGCAAACCAAGGCATTAACCTTGGTTTGCAAGGGCAGCAATGTGGGCTTTAGCCAAGTTGAATACTAACACGAGAAACGAAATAATAACAGTTGTGGGGTTTAAGCTCAATGGGCGGCAAGCGGCACTGGCACCGGCGAAGAAAAATCAATAAGATTAAACTCAAATCAAGGTCGCCCATTCTGATATCATGTAGAAATTCGGATTTAATAGTTTAAAAGGCCATAGTATCTTTCATTTAACCTATGAAATAGGTTCAATACGTTCATGTATTAGATGAACTGTGAGATTTGTATCAAATCGAATCTTAACAGAAAAGATATGATTGGTTATGATCCTAAACGAATGGAGAGAGCTTCTTTGGGGATCCTATAAATAGAGGACTAACCCCATAAATGAGATAACTACAAAAAATACATTAAGAATATCAACTCTCAGCATTTCTTGTGGCTCCTCTCTCTAAACACATACATGGTATTTCAAAGTTCTTCCATCTTCCCTTTGATCACATTCTTGATCATTCTCTCTTATTTTTTACCATTTTCTCTTCATTCCCTTCCAAGAATCTACTCTCCGGCAATCTTATTCCTGGTGTAGCATTGCCCGTACAGTCGGAACATCCAATTTAGATAGGTGATGGGCGATCTTCCACCCTATCAATTTTCTGGTATCGAACTACACCGTGCTACACGGTCATGAACAAATCCAATAAACTGAGCTTGTTTTAAATGCTCAAAAAATGGTTTGCCGCATAATCTCATCACATAATTTCCGGGTTAATGGAATAAGTGATACAACCAGTCAGTCTAATAATCTGATAATGGTGACAATTCTTTAATCAATAGAGTTTTAGGATTATGGTCCATCGATGAGCTGGCTCACCATTATGAAATGAATAGGTTAGATTGGTAGCTATTACCATAGGTCTGATTCGGTGTGTGTGTTTAGAGTGTGTTAAATGATAACCTTAAAACAAAAACAAAAAAAAGGTTAGATTGAAGTAAAATGCAATTAAGCTAGCATTCTCTTTTTAACAAAATGAATTTTGAGGACAAGGTCCTTCACAATATCGAAATTGAAAGCCAAGGAGTTGTTCCTTGTTTCCACTTGTTAGAGACCCAATATATATGCGCTATTAGTCCATAGTTGAGGGACTTACTACATTATTTTAGGGGTAAGAATTATTAGATTTTGGTACTCCCAGGTGAGAGCCCGGAATGGGGTAACGAGGATGGGATCATATAAGCACTAATGCATCGGATCCCATCAGAACTCCACAGTTAAGCGTGCTTGGACAAGAGTAGAACTAGGATGAGTATCACCTGGGAAGTCCTCGTGGTGCATTCCTCCTTTAAAAAAGAAAAAAGACAGAGAGAAGAAGAAGAAGAATGGGGTGATGAAGGAAGCCGGCCATTAAGCTAGCACTCACCATTGTCACTTAGCATGAAAGACGGTAAACATAGAATTCAACGACAGTATTCATTGAAATCATCATAACCCAAAACCAAATTGCTTAATAAAAAAACAATCTCATTAGACAACTTGGAGCCAAAATAAGAACCAAGAACCCTTCCAATGTCAATGGGTCACCATCTTCCTCACTCTCATCAAAATGGCCTAAAACAAGCTCCAGTAATGGTGGTCATGGTACCCTTTCCAGCACAAGGCCACCTTAATCAGCTCCTACACTTCTCCCGACTCATATCGGCCTACGGAATCCAGGTGCACTATGTCGGCTCTGCCACTCATAACCGTCAAGCCAAGCATCGTGTCCAAGGTTGGGACCCTCTAACCATATCCAACATCCACTTCCATGATTTCCCTATCCCACAATTCCTCACCCCATCACCCCATCCCCGTGCCGCCGTAAAGTTCCCAGCACACCTTCAACCAGCCTTCGACGCCTCATTGCACTTACGCGAGCCACTCGCTGCACTCTCTCCCCCGCCGCCCGAAGAATTGCCATTGTCCATGATCCTCTTATAACATTTGCTGCCCAAGATGTTGTGTCCCTCCCCAACTCCGAAGCCTATGCCTTACATTGGTGTTTCTGCGTTTGCAATTTTCTTCTTCATAATGGATGTCCAACAGTCAAGATATTGTAATTCCAAATGACCTGCCCCCACTTGAAGGCTGCTTCACTGACCAGTTCGCTGATTTAATTGATAGCTAGCCAGTTTGAGTTCTTGAAATTCGATGTTGGTGATCTTTACAACACATGCAGAGAAATGGAAGGTAAGTTCATTGATTTGTTGGGTCAAGAGCAGATTAATGAAAACAAGGGACAATGGGCAGTCGGGCCATTGAACCCAATAGTCATCGGTGCAGCCGGTGACTCGCACCGCCGACACAAATGCTTAGAATGGCTAGACAAACAAGCACCAAGATCAGCTTTATGTGTTTCATTTGGGACTACCACTTCTCTAACAGATGATCAGATCATCGAGCTTGCTATCGGTTTAGAGCAGAGTAAGGTACCTTTTGTTTGGGTTCTGAGAGATGCTGACCGAGGAGACATTTTTGCTGGGGATGAGGAAGTTAGAAGAACTCAACTTCCAAAAGGGTATGAGGATAGAGTAGGGGGAATGGGGATGAGTGAGAGATTGGTCCCCACAGATTGAGATCCTGGCCCATCCATCAACAGGAGGGTTCTTGAGCCACTGTGGCTGGAATTCTTGAGCATTAGCATGGGTGTGCCTATTGGGGCCTGGGCCATGGACCAGCCCAGGAACACTATGTTAGTCACTAAGATGCTTAGGGTGGGTGTGGTTGTTAGAGAATGAGCCCGGCGGGAGGAACTGGCTTCATCGGATATGATCGACAATGCCATCAAAAGGTTGATGAGGTCGGAGGAAGGGGAGGATATGAGGAGGAGAGTGGAGGAATTGGGCGGTGCCGTTCGGAAATCGGTATCGGAAGGAGGGACTTCTCGCATGGAGTTGGACTCATTCATTGCCCATATTTCCAGAATCTAGTGGGGGAATCTTGTTCTTGTTGGCTGTAATTCCAGCCTATAAATGTCATTATGGTCCTTGTCTAACACTTAATTTTGTAGCTTGGACCCACCACTCCATTGGTTGTAACAATCTATGATACAACATTATTTTAGACAGTAAAATGGATTAATCGGACGGTCAAGATTGTCTGATCAGATTCGATTTTTAGCCCATAGAAGGGTAGGTGAAGCAGCCCAAATGTTTATAGACGATATTTACAGTCTCCAATGATCATCATATGCTCATGATGGTTGTGCTGTTTGTGAGTTGAAACTAGTCAAAGTTTTATTGCCTTTTGTTTTGGACATGTTCAAATGAAGACCAACAATGAGAATGAGTAGATTGGAACTAGGGCTGTCAATGAGCCTAGCCAGCTCGACTCATCTCAAAACGAGCCGAGCTGGATCAAGATTAAAAAGCTCGTTGAGCCGAGCCAAGCCAAATGAGTGAGCTCGTTTAGATAATGAGCTGAGCTCGAGTAAGAGGTAGCTCAGCTTGGCTTGACTAATTCAATGAATACCCACCCATGTCCAGTTATACCCCTTCCAATATTGAGTTTTACATTAAAAAGTATAAGAAAATGAAATAAGATTTTTTTAATTAAGAACATGAAATGTTCATCAGGTTAGTGAAATCACTATTTTATCTTCCCATTTTCTTTGTACCCCACCATTTAATCCCTTAATTGTTAGAAAACCGTCCCCACTATACAATTTTTTTTTAAATTAGAGCTTAACGAGTCAGCTCAAGCTCGATGATTTGTGGATGAGCCGAGCCCGAGCTGACTTTTTCGAGCTCAGATATCATATTTCACTATCCACCAGATATTTATTCGGAATCGAATATCCAGATATATAATCGGATACGAATTCGGATATACTAATATCCGCTCCGTTTATAACCCTACCTCCAAACAAAATCGGCAAATTTTCAAAAAAATTATTTTTTGAATATTTTATTGAAACAACATATTCTCTCAAACTATTATGAAATTTCACGTAATTTTGCCCAAATAAAACAATTTTTTTTTTAATATATATAGTCGGAAAATACTCACCTCCTCGATAGGTGATGCAATGAGAAGTGTCTTGAGTCCCTTTTCACATCACGTGTCCCCATTTAAACTCCCTTTAACTGTGGTTAAGCTTCACCAACCCCTAAGATTCACCCATCAATCCTTTGTTTTTAAAAATAAAAAATTAAATAAGGATTAAAAATTAACCTGAGTTCACGGCAGGCCATCTTTGTGAGAGCGAGGAGCAATAGTTCGCTCCTCCCCCGTGGAGCGAACTATTGCTCTATATAGTCACATTTACATATAGTTTGATGCAAATCACTTATCTAAATATTAAACTAATTAGATAGGTTAGTAGCACTGTTTAAGGATCTTAATATTTAAATTTTCTAGTTCAAATAACTTAAGATAAGTGTTTAAGGGTCTTAAGTATTCGAACTAAATAGGTATCTTAGTATAATAAATGATAAACACCCAATTAAATTTATAATCTAGTAACATAATATTATTATTTTATTTTTAAGCAAATCCTTAAAAGTTTTGGAAATTTTCTGAAACTTTTCAGTATATTTTGATAAATATTAGTATTTTTTATTAAAAAATAATCCAGCAATATTTCAACTGAAATAGTTCAGCCTGAAATAATGGGAATATCAATTTAGTAGGGGGTAGAGACCGAAATTTGAAATTTTTTGCATGCCAGCATCACCTTTGTTAAATTCCCCTTTTTTTCAAGAAGAACCAGCTCTTCCATAAGCCATGAATTTTGCAAGTTCTAAAGGAGATGATGAAAATTGAAAATACACTGTACTTGGGAAGAAAGGATCACACATGTAATATAGGAATATAAAAGGAACTTGTTTTATATGCTTCCCAGAGCCCTGTAGCATGTTCATGAACAAATCAAATAAACTGAGAATATATTAAATACTCAAAAAATGGTTCGCCCGCATAATCTTATCCCATAAGTGATACAACCAGTGAGTTTCTTGATCTGGTAGCTGTGATCAATTTCTAATTAATCCAGTTTTAGGATTATGACCCATCCATTATGAGAAGAATATGCTACATTGAGCAAAATGGTAACCCATAATATAACTGGAAAATCAAAGTAAACAGACAATCCTGCCGAAGTAGTTTTTTCTTCAAAACAATTAACAAGCTGTGAAATAATAGACTAAGGCTGGTCATCTCCTTCAAAGGATCGCAGCTATTAAATAAATAACCCACAGGGCATATTGAGTTTGATTCAAGCTATGCAAACCAATTTGTTTTTTCTTCTGCTGAACATAATTTTCCAACTATGACTAACAGCAATATAAAACATAAGGGATGCCACAAGTGTTCCCACAGAACATGGAATGAGACGATTTCAGTAACATGCTTTGAGAGATATCTCAACTGTGATCAAACACTTCCTTACCAGAAAATATCTAAAGGGATTTGTTCGTTAAGGCCGGTGAGCCATGATCCCGTGCAGCCATCAAACTCTTCAACGCACTCCACAAATAGATTATTAAAACAATCCTAGTTTGCAAATTATCAATAGTTGCAGATGAAGAACATATATAGACGGGCAGAGGAAACATTAACAAAATGTAATTTTTTTCCGATACTTTCTCACCAACAAAATGTCCATGGATGTACATGCTAGTTGCTGTCTTAGGTTTCGATTGATTTTGTAAAACAGTCATACATGTAAAATTGCAAAGCTAGTTGTAGTTGAGGCCACCACATCTATTATAAAGGAGCTGCTAGCTTGATTATAGGAAGCATCTCAACCTGCAAATGTCCACACGCTTCAAAGGCTTCTAGCAACCTTTTCATACAACTCACGAGGCCAATTCCTAGACAAATTATTGGCCACAAAGCTTGCAATCTGCAAAGTCATAATGACCCAATCCATATGAGAAAGCATAAAGGGCATAAAGAGATGAGGAAGCGTAACTGTTACGATAATCCTATCATCATCGAATCAAAGAGCAACTTCAATTTTTACAACAAATCCATTTTCTGAGACCCAGAATAATATCACCCGCAAGGAATTGGGCATTCAGTAGCTACAATGATTAAGAAAAGGGATTAACAGTGCTTAATTTTGCTCCCGATTGCTAATCCGGAGCAGAAAATGACTTCAAGGTTGCCAGTGGTATCTAAACATTTAGGCAGTATTTAATTGAGGCAGATAATGAACAACCAATAAAGATCACTTCAAAGTTCATCATTTCACCTTTTGGTCTCAAGGAGAATAACAATGACAAATATAGATGAGTAGTCAATTCAGCCTTGTATTTGAAACATCAAAATAAAAAAATATAGGTAACTAAAATCCAGAT